GGGGGGAATCTAACATGACCACAGACTTCTGTAATTTTCTTTTCGTGGTTTAATGGGGCACCACAGAAGAATGCAAAGAAAATTGGCGATGTTTGCATTTGCTGAACCAGTCTGGAGGATTCATAGTAGCAGCATGAACACACTTACTTCATCCTTATATATATATGAGAAATGAACACCAGAAAACTACATTTTGAATCATTCATTATTTGCATTGTATGCATGACGGTTGGTTTGCATGATAAGATGATAAGGACAATGTTAAGGTCGAGTACCATCAATGTTAGATGTCTAGCATAGATTTAAAATGCACTTGCACAAATAGAGTTGAAGTATTACTGGCCAGTTAAAGCCCTTAAGACTAAAAGACACATTTTAACCATACGGCATAACCATATTCTATAATTTCGGCACTTTATTTGCATCGCGTCCATAGCCACTTTAGAATTACCCATTAACCTAACATAGATGTCCTGTAGAATAACCAAGAGAAACCACACAGGCATGCAGGCTATATGGGTAAAGGGCACAGCAGGGGTTCGAACTCAGAACCTGCTTGCTGTGAGGCATCAGTGCAAACCACAGTATAGTGTTACTCCAGGAAATAAAACTGCGGATACAAAAAAAAGAGGGTGAGAAAGTGGTGAAGTGGGTCCGATTTGGGCAGGAAACCTAAGTTGAAACAAAGCCACAAACTGAAGTTCACACGAAATCAGACTTACCTGGTGTGAGAAAGATGTTGTCATTTATGCAGGTCAGAAGTTGTATGAGAATAGAAACGGGGCGATCGTGGCTCAAGAGTTGGGAGTTCACCTTGTAATTGGAAGGTTGCCAGTTTGAGCCCCGGCTTGGACAGTCTCGGTCATTGTGTCCTTGGGCAAGACACTTCACCCGTTGCCTACTGGTGGTGGTCAGAGGGCCCGGTGGCAGCCTCGCCTCTGTCAGTGCGCCCCAGGGTGGCTGTGGCTACAATGTAACTTACCATCACCAGTGTGTGAATGGGTGGATGACTGGTTGTGTAAAGCACTTTGGGGTCCTTAGGGACTAGTAAAGCGCTATACAAATACAGGCCATAGAAATGCATTTAGTTTTTGCATCTGGCATATGGTCGTGTCACATATAGTATTAATAGGGTCAATGCTGCCTCTTTGTGGGCAAAACACAACATAGCAAAGGGATGCTTGAAATTACTGGGAAAAAACAAACATCCATGAAATTTTTGTCTTTCTATAAACCAGTTCAGGGTTTTGGGTGGAGTAGACCAGATGCTCTTGAATACTGGTATCTAAAGCATAAAGAATTCTATCGTCCGATAACGATATAAATCACAAAAATGTAACATTTTCTGTAAATTCTGTGAATCTCGGGCAGCTCGACTTGCGGGAAGTGTTTCCAGCTGCGCGTCATGTAGCTGGAGTCGAGTTTTTAACCGATGTATGAAACAAGACATTTTTAGACATAAGTTGTAACAGCCGCCGTTTTCTTTGTGAGTATTTATTACACGGCGTGCTGCGGGGAAACGCCTGTTCTAACGTTTGAGTCTAAGGTCTATTTTTTAGCACCTGGCGGCTCTTTTTTGCTTCTCATCCGTAAATAATCTGCTCTTTCACGTGATTCAGTTTATTTTGAAAAGTCTCAACAGGATCTTGAGCTTTATTGTGAAAGGTTTATGTGGAACATAAACAAGCGGACACGCGATGGTGTTACTGTCATTGTTGCTAACCACAATGCATAAAAACAGGCGCTTGTCGGTCTGTAGTGTGGTTATATTAAATATAAGAGAAAGAGAGAACTTTAAGAAATTAATATAGCCACTACAGTGACCATCAAAACGATGAAAAAATATTGTCGGAAACAGTTTATTTTGCGACACCAAGAAACACACAATAGCGTAAAATGAAACAATAGACGTTTTTATATAGTTAGCCGATATATATCATTATATCGAACAGCCCTACATTTCACTGTCTGTACTTTTTCCACTTTCACTTGAGTAAAGAAGTGTGGCACTTCAACTTCTAATACAGTATTTTTGTAACACAAGTATTTGTACTTCTACCTGTGACAAATTTGTGTACTTTTGCCAAACTATAGTGATACATTGCCTTTTTTTTATTGTTCATAGAAAATACAATATGACTAGATGTTTCTAAAATGAGATACCAAAAGTCTAATTGGGAAACTTTTTTCACTGTTTTATATTCTGCTACACTGTGTTCAAAAGGAACAACCTTTAGTTTGAAGGTGAACTTTCTTTGATTCTAGGTTGCTTTGTGCTTTTTAAGATTTTCATTTTTTGTACAAGCCGGATAATTGACAATCTTGAGCTTCGGTGTGCCAAACCGCATTACATGTCTTGAGCAATAATAAGACAGGCAAAGCAAAACTTACACATCATGTAGAGAGGGGTCTCACAGACCAATAGGAAAATAGGAAATTTTGTAGGCAACATTTGTGGTTACTTTTCTACAATGCCAGGATTTATGTCCAGTATTTTTGATAAACTGACCTTCATCCAGCTGTAGCTTTAGCTTAATCACAATTTGTCCAGAAAAAAGAATAAAATCCAGAAATTTTAAACCATCCCTGAAACCTTGAATGTCCCGTGTCTGGTGTGTTGGCAGCAACATGCTAAACCCTCTTGGTAACTCCTAAAGCAGGGGTGTCGAACTCCAGGCCTTGAGGGCCGGTGTCCTGCAGGTTTTAGATCTCACCCTGGGTCAACACACCTGAATCAAATGGTTAGTTCATATGAGGCATCTGGAGAACTTCAAGACATGTTGAGGAGGTAATTTAGCCATTTGAATCAGCTGTGTTGGATCAAGGACACATCTAAAACCTGCAAGACACCGGCCCTCGAGGCCTGGAGTTCGACACCTGTGCCCTAAAGTGTCCTGTAGGTAGTCAAAAGTCTCCCAAACAAAGTTAAAAAGTAAGGAGAAACACTGTGTTAACCGAGGATTTTCCATCATCTGAGGTATCCGGTCCTTGTCACATAGTGACGCCAAAATATTTTAAAGTAACATCTGCATATGACAAAATTGCTGCAGTGAAAACCCTTTTAAATAGAAATAAAGCTTTATGTAATGAATAGAAAAGATATCTTTGATGTTAGAAAGAAAAAGCAGCTCAGCTTTTAATTAAAACATTTATTTGATCCAATTCTTTGGAATGTAATAGTCAATGATGAGAGTCTGAGACAACAGAGACAGATGAGTCTGAGTGTTGACCAGAAAGTCAAAGTACAAACAATACTATTAGTCACGTAAGGCCTCACTGCTTTCCAATGTTTTTTTTAACTTCCTCATTTCCTTTCTTTTTCTAGATTTGAGACAGCAAAATTACAGAAAACGGTACTGAAAATAAAACATTTTTTTTGTCATACAAAGAAAAAAAAT